TTAGTATATTTAATTATAGGATAAAATAGTTGAAAAAGTTAATAAATTTTAAAAATTATACATTTTATGTATATTACCTACTTAATCAATTGTAATGGCAAAAAATCATTCCTACTATAACTTTTGCGTGGATAGATAAAGACCACTCTACTGTTGCTATGCTGTTGCTATAACTATGCTAAATGACTAACAAAAGGTTTCAGATATATTATTCTTTAAATTACCGAAGGATTTTAGTAGGAAGTTATGAAGGTAGAAAAAAAGAATTAAGTATTAATTTATCCACAGAAGTAATACTTAAGTACTTTATTGCAAAACTTAGTTGAAATTTACTTCACTATCCAAGTAACTACTTACGTAACTATACTTGTCTTTTGTAATTAAAATATTTTAAGTAATAATAACCTAAAATACTGAAATTAAAATTTTGTTTACTAACAAGATTTTTAACTAAGTAGAATACACAACACATTTCTGTTAGGAATCGTATTTCAGGGTTATTAGTTGTTCACACTATCTATTTCTTCAGAACCAAGCATTGCGATTCCCGACAAATGGCCTTGCAAGTTGCATGCGTTGGGCATCGCAGAACTCACATAGGTGCGAAAATATGATCAGTCGATCATAGTCAGAATAGGTATTTCACCTAAGTAACTTAATTAACATTTTGCAACATATTTTTTTACTTTTTATTGACATCCCTTAGCAGTCACGGAAAGTCCTAGTCACTTTAAAGTTTTATTTAGCTTACGTGCACGATTTATTTAATTAATAATAATTATGTAGGCTATAAAACGTCGGCAAGCAGTCAACATCAAAGGAGTGCAACTTCTGTACATACATTTATTCTGTGGTAGGATGAAAATAAATTGTTATAGAAAAATATACCCTACATCACACTCCTTTCAAAATTAGAAATAAAAATAAGACATGTGTCAATGCATGCATGATTCCTTCGTTTGAGCTGGTACACTTAAAAGTATTGATGGTTCATTCATTTGTTTTTGAATGTACCAGTACAAGCAATCACAAACAATTGACGGTACCTTTTTAACACATAATTTATTTGAATTGTGAATGAGCTGCAAACAAACCGAATCCTGATTGATCTGAATAAACCTGTGAATCGAATTAACAATGCAGACTGCAGAGTATTAGGAGTATTTATTATTTAAAGGTTTTATATTATGATATTGTTACCTAAATTATTATACATTTTATTATATTTATTTGTTACATCTATGAGTAAAAAATATCATTTAGTAGAGTTTACTAAAAATAACACTTCAAAAGATTTCATGATAAATTATTTAATATGATAATTTTCACCCACCTTATATAAGATAGGTAAAAGTTTAATTTTTAATTTTGTAGTAAATAGATGTTACAATCCCTATTTTTAGACATGTAAATTAAGATGACATTGTGTATTGTTAGGAATGAAATTTAAGAATATACTAATTTTTACTAAATATTTGATATTTTTATTTTATTTGACTTGAGGTTTTTGTATTTATGCCATCTAGCATTGATTGTACTTATCACTAATAAGTTTTAGTACGATAAAATAACTTTATTACCCATAGCATGTAGCTTGCATAGATGGCGCTTTTCTCAAATAGAAAATTTTCAGTTCCCAATAGATCTCAGACTCACAGAGTACTGGAGCCTGAAATGATCCATTTGAATGATCGATGCGAATGTACCAGTACATGTGACGAAATGTACTAAAATGATTCAGTCGCTAGAAATGAATGATTGACACATGTCTAATAAAAATGCTATGAAGAGTATTATACTCACTTCATTAGCCCACTGATGTTTATATAGATGGCGCCTTTTCCTTGCTGGTAGTGGAGAAGGATTATCATTAACCAGAGACTTGCTTTTAAATATGGAGCCTTTTTTCTTTGTTATTACAAGTTTAACACTAGGTTTGTCCTCCATTGGAACATCTGCTTCATTAATACCTGCAGGTTCTTTGAAATGTTCTTCAGTTTGAATTCTTTGGGATTCTTCCTCAAAATTTTCATTAGGACAACTATTGTAAGCTGAATCTAACGACTGGGTTTGTGTATTTAATTGGTCTTCATTTGAATCATATGCTTGAGTCACTTGATTTTCCGTCTGGTCACAATGGACTTCTATATTACTATCTACTTGCTTCTCTTCCAAATTTTCTGATTGAATTACTTTCTCAGATTCTAATTGATCCTCTTGTAAATCTGATTGATCTTTCACCTCTTTAAGTATTACATTGTCTGTGTGATACTCCTCTTCCTGCTCTTGCTCTTCAGGTACATCTGATAAATTTCCCAATTGTGCATCAACATGTTTTCTATCTACTTTACTTTCTGGCAAATTTTCCGTATCATTGTTAGCAACTGCATGTTTTTCATTGCTAGCAACTGCATGTTTTTCATTGTTAGCAACTGCATGTTTTTGTTTATTCTTTTGTTTTTTATGTGACTTAGACTTATGAAAATCACTTACAGATTTAGGTTTATCACTCTCACCAGATAATATACTAATTAAATCTTTATTTTCCATATGAGATTCAGTTGCTTTATCAGTTCCTACTTGAACCTCATTTAATTCAATTGCATCAGTAGAAGCCGCCACTTCTAGCTTCCGTTTACTCTTTCGCACCTCCTTTTTAATATCACTAACAGTCTTTGTTCCATGTTTACTAACTTTAGATGTTAATGCATCTAAGTAGTCATCATTTTCACTGTAATTAATGTTTGGTCTATTTCTTCTTGAGCGACCTGTACCCCCCTCAGGTGGTTTTTGTTCAGGTAATAGATCTTTAGTTTCAGATTTCGATCTTGTTATAGTACTAGTAGAATCTAAGTTAGTTAATTGTGACTCAATATGATCTGTTTGTGTTTTACTTTTTGATTCTTTTTCATTTTCTTCAATCGGAGATGCTAAAGTTTTATATAGGTCATATGTATCAGTGCCTGGTAATGGAGATATAACTTTTTTAGCTGGTTCTTCCTCATTATTTTTGTGATGGCGTTTATGTGACTTGTGGTGCCCATCTTTTTTATCCCTTTTCTTTTCTTTTTTACTTTCTTGATTTAGTGATGAACATTTTATAGTAATTTTAAGACCTTCATGCTTTGGAGAACATATTGTTTCCATGGATGGACTTTTTTTATGATCTATATCAGAATGTACATCCAAAGATGAATGTCTATCAGATCCTGGAGATGTAAATCCTTCATTTGAGTCAGTGCTAACTATTCTTGATGTCCCTTTCGATATTCTAAGTACAATAGGGGGAGGTTTACGTTCTTCATTTGCTTCTTTACTGGTTGAAGGACTCACTACATCTGTTTTAATTGGCACTGGACTGGAAACTAAGGGACTAGTTTTAGGTGATTGTACCTTTGGAGGTATAGATTCATATTCATTTATCAGCTCAGGTATGGGACTGTTGCTGCCATCCTCAGCATAGTTTATGACTTTGTTACGATTACGCACTAAGTAACGTTTATTCGGGGGTTGGGAGTTTTCACTTGGAGGTTCTTCCTTCTTTGCCGCTTTAGTAGCTACAATATTCTTTTTTGATTTAGTTTTTTCAGAGCTGCGTCTAGGCAATTCAGGTGAAGATGAATCCCTATTGTATCTACTTCTTTTTGTGGTTTTCTTTTCTTTACTAATTGGTGGATGCTCTGGAGAAAGAGGTGGGGCAGCTACTTCTGGAGCATAAGCAATTTGTGCAACTGGAGGGAATGGCTCAGCATTGCGAGATTTAAAAAATTTCTTCGGCTTTGGTGGTGGCTGCTCAGTATCTACAGCTGGAACTGTTAATGGGCTATTTTGATCTTGTACTGGCTTTTTTAGAAGGCTGCTTGCATATGCTGAAAAGCATTATTTTAATTATTGTATATTCTTTAGCAGCATAGCAATATTCATTCATAACTACCTTAAATAACAATTATTTATTAAGAGAGAGTAAGTTTCTAGCTCAATTCCAACTAGAAACTCACTTTCTCTTACTAGTATTGTTATTATTTAAATAATTTTAATTATGTGTTGCTGCGCAATTAAAATACATGAAAATAATTTATTCAAGGCAAAGAAGTGTCCGACTTACCGTAAGGAGCGCTCCTGATAGAAGTGAAGCTAGTGATACCCCACTTGCCCACAGTACCCGCTGAACGTGCCGCCGAGGGGCAATTACTGTTTTCTCTAAACAGAGCACTATCAAGCGGCACGGCTACGCTGCCGCCTCGGCCTCTACCCCAGCGTGACATTCTGATAATATCATCAAAAACGTTGGCACCTGCACTGATTCGGTTTAACAATAACTTCTCCAATCGTCAAATTAGCAAGTGGCACATGTTGCCCTTATATTTGTAACGTAAGTCAGTTATTAACTCAATCTTAATTTCTCCACTCAAATATCATACAATAGTATTTTACTGTTGCAATGAAAACACAATCTTAAAAGATAACACACCCGCCATTTTTATGGGAGCTATGAGCTAAGTACTTTTCCCACCAACGAACTCGTATCTATAATAAACTAATGACGAGCATCTCACTTTAATAAAACGTACATGACATTCACCAATTTTCTTTGAACTTTTGAGGTAGTTATTTAACATTGACTGCAACATTAATAATGACAAATAGGACACAAACTGCGATGTTGTCATCTCATAACAGCAGCAGCGCCATATTGGTTAAGCAAAATATGGAGAAATATTAGCCAATAGGAGCGCGCCTTCTGCCATAGACCAAGCAAATGTTTTTTTTTTATCTCGGAGTAATTACTAGCATAGAGAGAGTCCTAAAATAGGAACAAAATTCGTATAGCTGAAGTCTTTATACTTTTAACGTAGTACAAAATAAGATAGCTATGTTTTTACATTTTCTTTCTTTTACAATGTTGTTGACGTATTTCTATTCCATATACACCTCTATTGATATGCCATTAGCGAAACAAAAAGTTGTCGATAAATTCATTTGGCTTATATCTTAGTAAAATGAATGAAGTATGGAGTGTAGAAGTAAGGAGAACAATCTCTCATAAGAGAATAGTTGAAAAAGTGTCCATCTGTATGCAATAAATAACAGTTCAAAAACTCTCCACAACAGCGCTGGAGTAGCTACAGGGATGAAATGAACTTAGCAGTTATTGACGGTTTGAAGTGTGCTGCCAAACTGCTCAGTAGCTCTAAAATCTAAAATAATTTTAGTTAGTAAATATAACCTCGAAAAAGTTGTCTGTCCAACTAATATTTTTCGGCACATTCTTTAAAATTTAACCCGTAGCCATAGTGGTGGCGCCACTATAGCTACGGGTTAATTAACGGTTTTTTACGGACACTTTTTAATACACAGTCTGTACTCCTTACCTCTACACTCCGTAGAATGAAGGGTTTTGGATTTCAGTATTTATACAGTCCGTTTCATGAAAATGAAAATGAATGAAGTTCCGAGGAAAATATGCGAACTAAAAGAATCATGTCCAATTCTGACCTGAAAATTTTCGAAAGCGTCTAGTGATGTAAAATATCTTATAAAATTGCTCTTTTTTTGCTTATTTCGAATCGCATAATTGAATTTTCTAATAAAGCCAGGAAAAAGAGTAATGTTAATATGTTTATCACTTTCAATAGACTTTTGGAGACGGAACGAGTTCTACAATGACTTAAAGGCCCAGAAGCCATGCCAAAACATATTTAAAAAAACGTGTTTGTCAATGACAGTCCGTCATTTGTTTGAAGTTTTGCACTTTTGCAGTCGTTCGTTAGCTTTCCCTATGTTTTGTACTGTGCGATTTTGGATTTTCTGATACCCTTACAACTTGCATTTTCCACGGACTTCGATACCTTCCACTCACCATTACTTTGGCCTGTGTAATACGGATACCGATTTAGCTTTTTGATTGGGATCTAAGACGTTATCGTACTTGTTGGAAAGCGTTATGGAGCCTTCTACGAGAATGCTATGTATAAACTGTAACATATGTATTAATACGCTTCAGCGTTATCGGGCCCTTCAGCTTGATAGCAGAGTCATCTCGCTAATTAGCACTTGGATATCTCCAGTAATAGTAAGTAGTAATAACATACAACATGTAACATATAACATACAACAATACAATAGTAGTAGTAAGATTTTACCCATGTTTAGCTAAAGTGTCCTTTAGGACAGTTGTCTAAAATAAAAAATAAAACATGTAAAAATACAAATTAAATGTGCCTATTTCAATTTATGCTTTATAATCTCATAATTGATTTATTTTTCAGATTACGGAAGAGGACTACATTTGTGAAGCGTGCTTTGATGTATCCATGCAGTCTATTAATGCTCAAATTCATGGAAACAATGAGTGTCATCCATCTGCTTGTTCATCTCGCCTTGGTCATACTCAAGTGTGCCCCGTTTGTGGTCGATCATTGCTCAATCGTCAAAGTGACCATATTCACAAAGAAAACCCATCAAGCCTCACACTAAGAATGATCAACTTAATTCGAGCTACTGTAGCACCTCGTCAGGTTTGTATTTAAATATTCAAACTCATTTTAAACTGCATGCAATTTTTTCATTAAACTTCACATTCTAATCTATGACATTACTAGGTATGTCACTGCATTTATTACAAATATGTTGTTTTTTTGTTGACAGATATCACAATATGATCGTGTATGTCATGCCTGTTGGTTGAGGTTTAAAAGACAAGCTCTTTTAACTCAACAACAGGATGAAAGAAGAGGCTTAGAAGGTGATGAGACTCCTCACGGTCAAGAAGAAGTGGAACAGCCTGTTGATGCAGTTCATGTTCCAGAATTACAACCTCCCCCGTTTCTTGCAAGTACAGATGAAAGGGATTCGTCTGTAGAATCAGTTGCAGCTCCAGAGGTTCATTCGCTACAATCTCAAACCCAACAATCAAGTAACATTACATTACATAATTATAAACGTGCTCCCAATACAGCATCTCATTGTGCATTTTATGGGTGTGAAAATGAAAATCTGCATACTGTGTCAGATGCACTGCGGGCTACCATTTTGTGCAACTACAATTTTTATATTCCCAAACTGGCAAGAGTATGCACATACCATTTACATGGAAACAGTTGGAGTTCCCTTTATACCAGTGAAAACAGCATGAGCGATTTCACTGTTGAACAAGTTGAGCATGTTTTTTCCTTTGTTCAAAAATACAAGCATTTTCTCGATTTTTCAAGCATAGAATCATTACAAGAAATTGACGACAATTTATTTGAATTTTGGATTGGCTTGTCAAAATTGAAATTCCTTAATTTGTTAGAAGACCTTCCCCGACTGTTGGAAAAACATAGGGGTGTATTAGGTCTAGCTGCTGTATTGATAAAGATGCGGACAGGTGATTCCGACTTAAGAATATCAACATTGCTAGAAGTTCCTCGTACTACACTAGAGAGGTTAATGCAAACAGCACGAGAGGTACTGCTACAGGATTTTGTTCCATGTAACCTTGGAATAAATCACTTGCCGAGAGAACAATTAATAGAACACAATCTAATCATTCCGAATGGAATTTACAATGAAAATAATAAACAATGTATTGTGATGTGTGATGGAACATACATTTTTTTAAATAAAAGTGGCAATTATATGTTTCAAAAAGACACATATTCTTTACACAAATATAGAAATCTGTTAAAGCCATTTTTAATAGTTGCCTGTGACGGTTACATTTTAGATTGTTTTGGCCCATACAAAGCTACCACATCTGATGCCGATATAATGTCTTCTTTGTTCAGCAACGAAAATTCCCCACTGAGACAATACTTTCAAGATAATGACATATTTATTTTAGACAGGGGATTCAGAGACAGCATCAGCTTATTGGAGCATTGTAATTATAAGGCATATATGCCAGAGTCACTTTTGGAAGGTGAACACCAGTTAACCACCACCCAAGCAAATAGAAGTAGATGTGTAACTATTTGCAGATGGGTGGTGGAGGTTGTAAATGGATATTTTAAAAGAGATTTTAGATTATTAAGGTTTGACAATTTTAATAAAACTGTACCAAATATGATGGCTTATTTCCAAATTGCTGCAAGTTTAATAAATAAGTTTGGTGTTCGTCTTCGCAATAGAGCTGATGCTGCTCAAATTCTTGGTATAATAAATGAAAGGATGCCCTTGGAAAATAACTTAATTAATATAGTTACAGAATATAATTTAAATCGCCGGGCATCCTTTTTTCAAAGCATTACAGCTGATACTGCTAATATTGAGTTTCCCCGTCTAGAATACAGTGAATTAATATTATTCGCCTTAGGAACGTACCAAATTCGCCAAGCGCGTTCATATTATGGTGAACACGTACGTTTCTATGGCGGATACAGGATAGAAGTTTGTCAGGATACTAATAATATACCTGAGTTAGGCAGTGGGGAAAATTCACTTATAAAAGGAAAAATAAAGTCTAGACATATCTCAAAACGTCAGTACTATGTGTACATTTTGATTGCAAATGGTGTTGATGGACGAGAAGGCATTGTAGAGTATTGCTGTAACTGCATTGTAGGACGTCGCACTGTAGGTTGTTGTGCGCATATTATGACAATGGTGTGGTACTTGGGTTGGGCCAGGCATGAAACCAATATTGAGCCTCCAGCTGCATTTTTAGATGAAGTGGTCATACGAGAAGACAATGAATAAATAAAAATAAATCAAATCGTGTTTTTTATTTAATTTCCCTGTTCTCGCCAAAAACATGTAGAAAAGGTAGCTCTTTTTTGTTATCTATTAATGTTGTGATGGCCCATAGGTTACAACTCGCCTCTTATGCACAGGCTGTGAGTTCAAATTCAGGCAAGTACCAATGTGTGTCTTTCAATGCGTAGGTACGTATTTTCTAAGTTTATCTTACAATGGGGAAGGAAAACATCGTGAGGCAACCTGAACTCAATAATCATATGGTAGAAGTATAATAATCAAAATAAAAGTCTGAAACTGCCAACTCATCTTGACTCTGCTTGGTCATTAATGCTGCTGCTTTCTCTGTATGAAAAGAGGTCTTTTCCCAGCAGTGGGGCCGTATTATTATGCTTATATTAGGTATTATTTACTCTCTTTCTCTGTTCATCAGACTTTTAGAGTTCGATGGCAGAAAGCGTCGCCTGTCAGGACGACTCCTTGAGTCAATCTGTTACGACGACAGATTTTGACCGATAATTAAATGAACTATACGTATATTGTTCTAATTTGCATAAAGTGTAGTCTAAAAATCAACATAGGCGAGATATTACGAAAACGTAACTGCTATTTGTGACCGCGCACAGATGATAATATTACATTGAAGAGGGATTTATTTCTGAGTGATTGTAACTCTCTCGGCGATTAAGAAACAATAACAGAGTACTTTTTGTATACCTGAAAGAAACAATTTGATTATAAACGTATAGTTTTTGAGGTTGCGACAGCTGTCAAATAAGGTTTGACAGCTGTCATAACCTGAAAAACTTATTTACTTAATAGCATTTTTCCCTGGCCTCTAAATGAAAAGGTAATAAGTTATTATGTTATTATAAACAATAATTGATTTTATGCAACAGCACTTGTAGGTAGACGCGCCCTGTAAAACAAATCAAGTGACAGGTCAATCGATGTATGGGAAGTGGGCATTCTTCTTTATGCATGGAGGTTAGAGAAAAGGAGAATAATCGCTGTAGAAAATAGTGTCCCAGAAATATGGACAGAATAAGTGAGGCGCTGCGAACGCTAAGTTGTCTCAATAAAAGCGGGCTATTGAATGCTAGTTCGAAATGATCTATCAACGTTTAAATATACGTGTTTATAATATCAGTCAAAGAAAAAAAAAGGTAATTACTAAATAATTATTATTATTATTTATTAATAAATAAATTATAAATTGTTTTTTATAATTTTAATTATTATAAACTATAAAACTATTAATTATTATTGATTTTTTTAATAATATTTCACCATTTTTAATGTTTCTTTTTGTCAAAAATTAAAAAATTACGGAACACGATTATTTTCTCACCAAAGCCGCGAAAAAATTTGTATATTATTCAACTAACTTCATCTATTGAATAAAACTATTATTTACGGATTTTATCGCGTTTAATTACTTTAATTTATTTTTATTATTATCCCGACGTTTCGGGTGCTTTACAGCGCCCATGGTCACGGGGGGGACTGAGATGTTTGACGTCCCAATGTCATAGTTAGTCCGGCTACCTTCAGTTTTTTAATATTAATTTAGATGATTGATGAATCTAGATGTTTTAGTCATCCGAAATCCTGATAACACTATTGGTCACACTGTGTATAGGAAAAAGACCCATACCAACCGATATCTAAATGGTGAATCTCACCATCATCCTTCACAGTTAGCTACCGTGGGTAAATCTTTGTTTCAGAGAGCACGAGGGATCTGTGACAGAAAACATCTGGCCGCGGAGCTTCAGCACGTCAAGCAAGTATTGCAAGACAACAAGCTTCGGGTCCCACGCCTACGTCACAGTGAACGAGTGAAGCCGGCAACAGTCGAGCGCGCACCTGCTCTACTACCATATGTTGGAGGAGTCACGGACAAGATTGGCTACATCTTGAAGCGAGCGTCCATTAAAACATACTACAAGCCGCTGAAGAAGATTAGTCAATTTTTACCATCCATCAAATGTAATATTCCTCTACAAGATGCAGGTGTGTACAAGCTAGATTGTGAATGTGGTCTCTCTTACATAGGTCAAACAAAGAGATCTATAAAAACCCGCGTGAAGGAACATATAGCTGATGTGAAGCACCGACGCTCCGGGAAGTCTGCAGTCTGCGAACATGTTCAAGATCGTCCCCACCATTACATTAGATTTGATAAACCACAAATTCTCGCAAAAGAACACCGATTCCTACCAAGGATGATACGCGAGGCTATTGAAATTAAAAAACATCCAAATTTCAATAGAGAAGATGGTTGGGTGCTACCATCTGCTTGGGATCCTATAATCAACAAAATTAAACCCAAACCCAAGCTATCCACTGCAAGACTTCATGATACTATAAGCTCGTTTTGCGTAAATCGGGCCAAAAATTAATATTAAAAAACTGAAGGTAGCCGGACTAACTATGACATTGGGACGTCAAACATCTCAGTCCCCTCCGTGACCATGGGCGCTGTAAAGCACCCGAAACGTCGGGATAATAATAAAAATAAATTAAAGTAATTAAACGCGATAAAATCCGTAAATAATAGTTTTATTCAATGTGTAGTATTCGCGTAAATTTAAGAAATCATTAACTTCATCTACTTGGACAGCTAACTTCACAGATACTACCTAACGACGGCAGCGCGCCTATAAATTCTACTAATTTTCAGGGACAGGCGGGCTAATGCTTTAGCATGTAGCGATCGTTCTCCTTCTCTCTAACCTCCATGATTTTACGTATGGAATTTGACACCAGATGTCAAACTTTGCAAAGATAAAGACTGTGGCGCCGCGGCTACGGGACTTCTTTTGTGAAACGGATTGTAGTTATCTGTGTTGGATTCGTTATTTATGTTTTTATACCAACGAAAGTTTATGGAAGTAGTGAAGGGTTTTGTACTATGGTTGTATAATTTAAAATACATCGTGAACAGATCATTATGAAATTTACTTAAATTCAGCCGATATATTTCCGCCAAATTAATTTTAGACTCATTATGGGTTACAAAAGGAATAATAACTGTTTTTGTTTAATCGACACTAAGTTTATGTCACGGAACGTACACAGAGGGCAGTAATACGAATGTTTTTTTTTATATAGTATAAGAGTGCCAAACGAGCACACAGTCCACCTGATGGTAAGTGGATGCTGTGGTCCATGGACATCTCTATTTATCCTTGATCAAAAAATCAAAATGCAGATGCGTTGTCACCCCTGAGAACTAAAATGGAATGCCTCGTTGCCTGTAAAAAAGGTCACCCGTTCTCTACACTCACCACACGAAACACAGCAGCTGTTATTTTACGCTGGTATTCTGTGAGAATGTGGTCCAACCCCGCTCGAGCCGACCCATTCGTGCTACAACTGTTTGAGCTGCAGCGTGGCTCTACCATGTTAAATAATATATCCTGCATTCTCTTCGGTCGCTTAATCACAACTATC